CATTTCTTCCTGCATATTTGTTGCACAATTCGTTTCTGGTGAATTGGTCTGCCCATTGCCAGAGATCCCTCGCTGTTGCTGATCTTTTCTGGCCAGCCATCTGATCTTGAGTGGTATTGAGTGAAGACAGCTGTTGATGAAGGTCTGTAGTTTGTTTGAGGTGCTCTTCATGACGCGCTAACTCTCTAATCCGTATAGTAAGTAGCACTGACTTCACATTGGAGCTGAAAATCTGCATCCTATTTTTCATGCTAAGTAATGCTGTTGACTTCCACACAGACTGGAGAGAAATGAAAGCTTGCTTTGCTTTCTCGATCCTCGCTTTGATGCACTCGTCAGTTCCATCCGCCTACAGGTTGATAAGTAAAGAAGGTTGCTTCTTTCAGATTTCTCCGATTTATGCTGGCTGGTTGTTGTCTGTTGTTGTTGCTGTGGCTGTTGGCCAGGAATCTTCATCACTTGTGTTTTCTATATGTTCGCATGAAGTCATATCTTCTCTGGATGCTTCTTCTATCACCAACTTGTTGCTTTTCACTTGCATATCTTCCAGTTTGCGGGAAGGGGTGGGCAATTATAGGATTAGTAGGCAAATCGAATATTATTATTACTACCATTCTCACTTTGTTCCACTTGTCACAGTAAATCCAAAATTATTTCTTTACAATATTGAATTCTATCTTATCAAATTTCACACCATGTTATGTTGTAACGTCTTATATTCGCCTACGAACCCCATAATTATACACCCCTTTCTAACATCAATCTATACACCTTATGAATTATTCTATATATGACATTAATTGTTTTGCTACTTGACATTTAACTATGATTATAATCACAAATATTTTAACTGCATTTCATACTACTACTGTTATTATTTCATGTATTCACACCTTTGATTCAATTCCCTTACCGGATGTAATTTCTTAAAAACTATATATATACGATTGCACAGGTTGATGATAAATTCGTTGGAAAGATTCTCTTTGCTGAATATCGTGTTCTTAATGTTACAATGGCAATTATTAGATTGTGTATACATAAGTTACTTGGCGGATGGTGACTACCAGTGGAATCCAGGATGCTGATTTCATCCTTTTGGAATCTCGTTAGCTGGATGTACCTGCATTCTGCAGTGAGTGATGTTCCCCGCACCGAGGCTGGAACTCAGCGCTCGTAGTTTCAAACGCCAGAGCGTGATCCACTAGACTTCTTGGGTCATGACAGCCACCTTTTGTGCAACGGGTCATATTAAGTATTTAATTTAAGGTGTGAATGCATGAAATAATAGTAACGGTAGTATAAAATGCGGTCAAAATACTTGTGATTATAATCATAGTTAAATGTCAAGTCGCAAAACAATTAATTTCGTATATAGAATAGTTCATAAGATGTATAGATTGATGCTCGAAAGGGGTGTATAATTATGGGGTTCGTAGGCGAATATAAAACGTTACAACATAACATGGTGTGAAATTTGATAAGATAGAATTCAATATTGTAAAGGAATAATTTTGGATTTCGAATGACAAGTGGGAACATTTCAGAGTGAGAATCATAATAATAATCTTAGTAATGAGGGAAAGGTACATAGATTAACCAAATAAACAAAGTGAACAAACACATAAATGTCTATTCCTCTACGACCAAGGCAGAAATAGGGATTGTACATACTTGTTTTGTACACAGAAGTCTGGTTTAAATTCATGAATGGCCAAAGCCTCCACTGTCTTTATATGTTTATAACGCGGAAAACGTGGTGAGTTAACATAGATTTGGTAGATGATCTTAAAATCATGATCAGGCTTGGTAGAGTGACAGGAGTCGATCAGGTGTCCTAGAATAGAGCTTCGCATGCCGTTATTTTACCCCTGTGTAAAACCATGCTAAGATATGCTCTTATATCCATGTGGAAAGCATTCTCTGACTATAGCCAATGTACCTTGCTCCAGATAGGCAGGTGAACTGATAGATGCACATGGAGGCCACCAGACAAGGGAGTTTATCTTATTCAGAGAAGGAGAACAACTTACTGCTGGTAAAGACCGTTTGTAGTTTTGCAGCAAAGGAATGTCAGACTGATTGATTTAGAGAGTGAGGATTTCTGAGCATATTTGAAGCCTGATGACCACCTTTGAATTCCAAGTTCATTAATAAGGTAGTTCTTTCAGAACTGAGTCGGTGACCAATTTGGACTGCTTATTTTTGGTGTTACTGTCACTTAATCGGTTCTAGTAACTTTTCTACGAACATAGCTTCTAGGAAGGCAATTTCTGAGTCAACGCAATCAGAACTGAAAATGTTTATTATCTTACAAAAGAAGCATGTACAATCTCTAATTCTGCCCTGGCCATAGAGGGATAGATACTGATTTATTTAATTAATCGATGTATCTTTCCCTCATTACTACGATTAATATTATTATAGAAAATCAGAACAAGTGATTCAGTGAAGGGACTCTTTTCAACGAATTTATTATCAAGCTGAACAACCGTATATGTATGAGTTTTTTAGAGAAATTATATATGGTGAGAGAATTGAATCATAGGTGTGAATACATCAAGTAATAATTATAGTAGTATGAAATGCAATTAAAATGTTTGTGATTATAATCATAGTTAAATGTAAAGTGGCAAAACAATCTATGTCATATATAGAATAATACATAGGATATATAGAACTTGGTTTATTATTATTATTTATTATTATTATTGTTTCCTTTAGTTCCTAAAAGAACATAGGGCTTCAGCCACACGTCTACATTGCGTTCGGTTATCCTCCAACGTTTTCAACTGGTTCTGCGCCTGCCCACATGCTTTCATCTCCTCTTCACATCACATCTCCTCCATGTCACCCTCCCGCTGACGACCACTTCGCCGCTTGCCATTCGGGTTCCACTCGGGCGATGGCCTGGCGTGTGATTTCACTTGATAATGGTTTGTTTCCTTGGAGTATAGCCAACCCACCTCCATTTCTTCCTGCATATTTGTTGCACAATTGGTTCCTGCTGGGTTGGTTTGCTCATTGTCAGCGATCCCTCCCTGTTGCTGATCTTTTCTGGCTAGCCATCTGATCTTGAGCGGTATTGAGCGAAGACAGCTGTTGATGAAGGTTTGTAGTTTGTTTGAAGTGTCCTTTGTGACACGGCGCCAAGTGTCAAATCCATATTGTAAGTAGCACTGACATCACATTGGAGTTGAAAATCCGGATCTTATTTTTCATGCTGATTCTGTTGTGCTGTTGATCTCCACACAGACTTGAGAGTAATGAAGGCTCGCTTTGATGTCCTCATCAGTTACATCCACCTGTAGTTCAAACGATGCTTCCCAGGTAGGTGAAGAGGTTGCTTCTTTCAGATTCCTCCCATCTATGCTGGCAGATTGTTGTCTGTTATTGTTGCTGTTGGCCAGGAATCTTTATCGTCTCCGTCCCCACCTTCTCTATGTTCACCTGAAGTCCTATCTTCTGTGGATGCTTCTTCTATCGCCAACTTGTTGCTTTTCACTTGCATATCTTCCAGTTTGTTGGAATAGAACTTGGAAGGAGTGTGCAATTATAGGATTAGTAGGCAAATCGAATATTATTATTACTACCATTCTCAATTTGAATTGTTTCCACTTGTCCCAGTTGTCACTGTAAATCCAAAATTATTTTTACAATATTGAATTCTATCTTATCAAATTTCACACCATGTTATGTTGTAACGTTTTATATTCGCCTACTAACCCCATAATTATATACTCCTTTCCAACATTTATACATCCTATAAATTACTCTACATATGATACTAATTGTTTTGCTACTTGACATTTGACTATGATTATGATCACAAATATTTTAATTGCATTTCATACTACTGCTATTATTATTATTTTATGCATTCACACTTATTTCTCAATCTCCTCACCGGATATAACTTCTTAAAAACCATATACATACGATTGTACAGCTTGATGATGAATTCGTTGAAAAGGGTCTCTTCACTGAATATCGTGTTCTTAATTTTATAATGGGAACTATTAAATTATTTATATACATAAGTTCCTTGGTGGATGGTGACTACCAGTGGAATCCAGGATGCTCATTTCATCCTGTTTGAAACTCGTTAGCTGGATGTACCTGCACCGTGCAGCGAGTGATGATATTCCCTCCAAGGCTTGAACTCAGTGCCCATAGTTTCAAACGCCAGAGCGTGATCCACTAAACTTCTTGGGCCATGAGATCCACGTCTTGTGCAACGGGTCATATTAAGTATTTAATTCAGCTTAAGGTATATATATATATATGGCGAGGAGATTCTTTTCAACGAATTTATTATCAAACTGCGCAATCATCCATACATGATTTTTTTCAGAAGTTATATTCTGTGAGGGAATTGAATCGTAGGTGTGAATAGATTAAATAATATATATATATATTGTCACAAACCAACAACGTTTAAAGAATCATTGAAAATCGAGGAGTATCGGATAGCTGTTTCGTCCTAGTTTGGGACTCTTCAGCCCTGCGCAATCACGGGTTCACTAGGATATGGCGTTTATAAGGCTGATCTCATTGACCACTTAGCCAGTTTGCTTGACGTTGGTACGTGATGAAATTTAACAACATTTACACAATCTAAATTATCAGTCTCCAACCTCTATTAGTGAATACCGCAGGAACAATGTCTTAAAGATGTACTGAGAAGCTGTGACTCATTTTGGGCTTCACCGTGTTAAATTGAAGGCTGGTCCTCTTCAAAGGCACTATGCCACGAACTCACAGAAGTTAGAATTTACAAAATCAATCAATGATCAAAAAGATAGGCTTCGTAACCTGGATGGATGTGTGTTGGTGCACCCGGTTGCTGAAGAGTCCCAAACTAGGATGAAACAGCTAGCTCTCCAGTATACCTTTCTACTTTTCAATGATCTGTCTTTCTAACTGATGTCGAGTTACTTCGTGACGAAATCTTTAAATTACAGGTTTCAAAACACATAAAAGTACAATTACTAACTTACTTTTTTACGTCACGTGGAGTAATGATAATAATATTAAAATAATTCAAGTATCTATTGACTTCCTGTAATTTACTTATGAAACATATAATTATCGTAATTATGTAATATATATATATATATATTTGTATCTTAAGAAATTGATTGCATAGACACTTAAGCTATCCATCTACCTATCTGTCGGGTGAAAGATAGAAGAGGCAGAGAGTTGAACAGGTGTAATTTTCGGCGTAAGGGGGGGGAGGAGGATAAGGAGTTGATAAGAGGATAAGCTGTTGTTTCAAAAGAAGGGAAGGGTTGTGTTTTCTCTCCCCAGGATAATTATTATTAAATGTGACACAGTAATTGGTTCAATTGCCTAACTAGCCTAACTATGATTGGTTGGGATTAAAATAAGGAGAGTTTATATCGCTTTAATGTGTGTGGATTAAAGGGCGACTACTAATACTACTCCTCTGTTGCTTACTTCATTTAAGAGAAAGAAAGTGAGGGGAGGGGGTGGTGATGGAGATAATCTCTTTACAGGAGAAAATTCCTTTCTCCCTTACTCTCTCTCTCACCTATCTTATCGACGGTTTGTTTGGTTTGTTTTTTAAACAGATTAAACTGAATTTGATTGGTAATCAGAAATAAATAATCTGTGTAATTTGTGGAAGGGATTATTTCGTTTGTTTGTTTGTCTGTTTTATCCAAGTGTATGTAAGTTTGTATGGGGAAAAGTGTGTCAGTTTGTGTGTGTGTGAGTGTGATGAGATGAGATTTTAGAGAAGTAATAATAATGATAATGCTCGCTAGTGTCTTGCTATAGGACTGAGTTTCCTGGAGTTCTAGTGAGAAGTCATGACCAGTGGTGACATTGGATGATGGTCGCGCCAACATCACGAATTGCTAGAAGTTAGAATTCATGCAGTCGCCATTGAATCGGGTCCCGTGGAGTGGCTGAATGGCATACGAGCTCGCTGGTCTTGTAACCGGAAGGTCGTGGATTCGAACCCTCATGGTGAGTGCGTACTGGCGATGATTATCAAACTAGGATGAAACAGCTGTCCAGTACTTGAGTGATGGTTTTCAATGGTTCTTTAACTGATATCAATACGTGGTCAAAGTCGAAAAAATAATGATAATAATATTTCTGATATATATTTCTACACCAACCAGCATATCTGTTGATGGAAGTCTGCAGTGGCGTGTCGGTAATGTTTTTTTTCAAATCCTGCCAAAATCCAGATTTTCTATGCCAACTTCGATTGTTATTGATTTGAAATCAATACTGATCTGCCCGTTTTAATAACTGATTTTATTCGATAACATTTTGAAATTTGAGGCGATGGGTACTGAGTTAGTGGGAGTCTCAGTGGGAACATCATCACCTAGTCAGTTAGTAGGGGAGCAGGTATTTTCAAATAATGAGTTTTAAAGTGGGATGAAGCCCTGTCAACCCCCATTAATGAGAAAAAACACTAATTCATCAGGAGATATAAAGTAGCCAGAACATTAAGACCCACTCCTCAACTCGACCCTAACAAAGACGTCTACATCAAGCTATCTTATATAGGTAATCATAGCAGCTTGATAACTAGACAAAGACTGAACGCTGCTGCGGTTAAAAAGACTTTTCATGCAGATAATATCACAATAATTGAGCATGTCAAGCCAATATATCCACCATCTAAGCCCTTTGAACATGCAAAAATGATATCACAACCCACTGTATTTACCAATTTGAATGTACGTGTGGAAACACATACCTAGGCAGTACCTACTCATCGATCTGTGCAAGTAAGAGCTGGCTTCAGAGCATATCCCTCTAAATGACTCCAAAAACAAACGGAATCTTGAGAACCCATTAATGTTGAGAACAGGAGGCCTAGCTCTTCTATTGCGAAACATATTATAGAGAAAGGATATAAAATTGATGTTTACACAACTTTTAAACCTATCTATAAAACGTGTTTGGGGTGTATGCTAAAGTTTATGGAAGCCCTAGCAATTAGAAGGTTTAAACTACCTTTATGCGTTTAGAAACAGTTCGTCATCATCATACTACACCTTCCTTGGTAAACTTTGTTTTGATACCAGCCAGGGTAGATGTACTATTGCCTCTGTTATTTGGTTTAGTGATCTTCATTGTTATTTTGACCTTCAATATGGTGGCCTTTTAACTTGACCTAAGTAGTCTATTTTCTCACCTCTTAACTCTTTATTAATTTGGTATATATATTCCTATGACGAGTCCGTGTAGGATCAGATTGTTCGAAATGTGTTACGCAAATACGCATTGCACACGATTCAGACAAATCACGTCTTCTTATTGCTTTGTCTAAACACCAATTCTGTTGTTATACGTTAAACATTACCCAGCTTCCCTGTCACTCTTTAGCTTGCATAAGCTTATAGCTGAAATTAACTTCTGAATAGTAGTATCTAAACGATTTTTCATTTCTTTTACAGATTTTTCTGGTGTTAGAAATGCAAAGAATAGTCACTCCTATGGCTTTAGTATGAATGATATTTTTAAATGTCTGCAGTCTGTGAAACCTTTCCAACGTTTAGGTTCAGATAGTTTGCCGGCTACAATTCCCACAGAATGTGTGGATAATTTATGTTATCCTCTTGTTCATATTTTTAACGTATCATTTTCTACAAGAATGGTGTTTGCTTCTTGGAAAAGGCCTCAATATGGTCCCGGTGCTTTAATCATCAAGTGAATCGTGTGGCATGTTCGGACATATTGTTACTGTCTCACCACTTTTGAAAATAATAGGAAAATCTCTCTTACTTATTTCTTGAACTTCCATTGAAGGGTTTTAATGACACAAAATAATCTGTATATGTGCATCGGTGGCACGGCGGTATAGTGCTTGCTTACCACGCCTCATGTGGTCCAGGGTTCAATCCCCGGCCAACACACTTCTTTATCTCGCTAAGCCAGTAATAAGACTGGCAAAGAGGGAAGGTTGGACATGAGGTTGGCTAGCAACCGCATCCTGTAAAAAATAATCACCACTGCTACAGAAACTTCAAGCCTCTAGCTTGAAGGTGCCTATAGTTCCACTGAGAATAAAAGAAATCTCTATACAGACATGTTAGATGTACTTTGGGTTCCGCCTCTGTCTTATATCGTTTTAGTGTCTCCAGTTTGGACAAAGGTGCTAAATATATTCGGTGTGTAATGCTGGATTACTCATCAGCTTTTGACTGTCTACCTGGGTCTTTTTGTTAAATATGGTTGTTGTGAAACAGAGAGGATACTGGATTACTAAGTGGTTACGTTCTTAGCATTCTGGTAGAAAGCGGTATAGTATACATAAAGGAAAGTCTTCACTCGGTATCCCTCAAGGTGTTGTTCTTTCTTGTTACATGATTCGCCTCTTTCAAATGAAGCCAATTTTGTTAATTATGCTGATGATCTGACTGTTTCCATGCTAGTTACCTTGCCATTTTATCTTTCCGAAATGAATTGCTGATCCTTATTGAATGATTTCAAGTGAAATCCCTTCAAATATCAGGTGGTTAATTTCAATTCCAGACATAAGTTCGACTTCCATGAACTGGTACGTTTCGATTTTTTTTGTATCATAGAAGACAGTGAAGTTGGAACTAAGTGGAATGTTAAATATCTTGGATTATGTCTGTCTTTCCTTGGGTCTTCCTTTATTCTACCCGTCCTTCTTTATTGCTCCCTCACCTTAATCTTTCCTTGGTTACTTAAGAAAGACTTCATTACACTGCGAAGGGCACTAAAAGTTGTCAGTAGGGTGAGTGAGCTGTCTCTGAACCAACTGGTTAATAGTGTTATAGACATACGCGTGAATTCGTGGAATAAATTGGTGAATGTCATCTTTTCGGACTCTGAGGATCCTCTCCCCTTGCATGTTCTTCATCGTGTAGAACTAGAAGGAATTAAGAAAGATTTTATACTTGAACAGGATTTGATCATCTGAAGTTTCAGTGGAGGTTAAGGTTTCTAACCTGACGCTTGAACTTCTCCTTGTTGGGCTGACTACCTACGGGCTATGTGAAGTTAAGAAATGAGCTGGCTGGGAATCGAACATTAATTTTATACTTGATGATATTAGATAGTTGGAGGCAATCGGTAGGAAGCCTTCAACCTAGGTTTCGTGCTAGTTGGCACTCATCAGTCAGCAAGGCGTATCTGCAACTACCTTGAAGGAACTCATGTCCCTTCTGAGATTCCAACCCGCATCACCCAGTGCCACCCGTAGTCAGAGACGTTACCACTGAGCTATTCGGGCTCGCGATTGACCTCCTGTAGGACTGTAGTGGACACTTTGATTGGACACTAGTAACTAGTGTGATGTGTCTACTCCTCTCTTTGGTGCAGGCTGAATTCTATCAGTCAGGTTTACAATGTGGCCACCATTCTAGGTAGCTCGCCATAACGGTGCATATTGATTTGATGATATTAGATGGTTGGAAGCAATCGCGAGCCCGAATACCTCAGTAGTAACGTCTCTGACTGCTGGTGACACTGGGTGACGCGGGTTCGAATCTCAGAAGGGACATGAGTTCCTTCAAGATTGCAGATACGCCTTGCTGACTGGTAAGTGCCAACAAGCACGAAACCTAGATTCAAGGCTTCCTGCCGATTGCCTCCCACCATCTAATATCTTCACAAACAATGTACACAGTGATGGCGAGCTACCTAGAATAGTGGCCACATTGCAAATACCTGACTGATAGAATTCAGTCTACACCACAGAGAAGACTAGACACTTCACACTATGGTTACTAGTGTCCAATGAAATTTTTATACTTGGCTGACGAGTATCCCACTATTGAGTCACACACACACAACTGAAGTGAATCCAGTGGAATATGACAGTTTATTTCGATTAATCACATACATCCTAAACTGTATATCTACAACAAACAATAGACTTCAACCTTCCTTCGCCTACCATGATAGACTACTTGACCTGTTTAAATATGATTGGTCATTGATATCTACTTCCGTTTTATATAACTCAATAAAAACTTAAAACAATTAGTTCCCGTTATGAATTTAGTTAGATAAAGCAATAAGAAGCCGTAATTTGTCTGAATCGTGTAATG